ATATGTGGAAAGAATATGAGCATCTCTGTTTTTGGTTTTTGTTGTTGTTAGGCAATTGGGGTTAAATGACTTGCCCAGAATCACACAGCTAGTGAGTATTATGTGTTTGAGGCCGCATTTGAACTCAGGTCCTCCTGACTCCAGGGCTGGTGTTCTATCCACTGTGCCACCCAGCTGCCCCTTTTTTTGTTTTATTTTGCTTTTTTTTTAACATGAGCATCTCTGAAAAGGTTTGGATAATCCTTGTCCCTTGCCCTCTCAGGAGGAAAAACAAGGCAAAAAGCAAACCCCAAATGCTTCTACATAAGAGGCACATAGCACCAACTCTGGGGAAAAGCAACCAGGAAGACCAGTTTGGAAGCCCCTGTTGTAGAGAGTTGAACTTAGGACTCCCAGAAGAGGGACCATGATTCTGCTGATGAATTTCCAATGTCAAACCAGAAGGTGGGAGCTTTAAGGCTGGCGGTGCCAAGGAACTTCAGAATTGTGCTGAGAGGCATGGGAAGCGGCCAAGAGGGAGCGCCAGGATGAGGGAGGGGACCGACCCCAGAGGTCAAGAAGAGCTCCGCCAACATTATATCATCCTTGGAACCCACAGTAGAAATTCGTAAAACAAAGACTTCACCAAGGGATAACGTGAGCTTATAAAGTCTGAGGCTGAACCTTGTAATTAATAATGGCAATAGAACTCATCAGAAGACAGGCTGTATCAACTTGGCAAAGAAACTGGTGTATCAATTTCCTGCCTTTTATTAGTCAACTTTATGGCTAATGGATTTTGTTCATCTCTATGCCTGTAGAAGGCTGGGAGGCCTCTTGAGAGACACCACCCTGATGCTGATGTTTCCGAGGAATGTGTCTGGGTTGGGACAATAGAGATTATTGTTAAAGAGATGACCCCAAGATTGAGTCTAATCACCCTGCCAGGGGTCAGATTCAGTCTTTTGGATTAAACTTATGAAACAGTGGAGGAAATCTCTCAGGCTATCTTTGTCAGCAAGATGGAGGTAATCAAAATAGCCTGTAGGTATACCATACTGTGCTTTTAGGTGTGGGAAGGGCTTTAGCTACATACATTATCTCGTTAAGGTCAGTTAGGGATGTTATAATTACCATTTTATAGATAATGAAACTGAAGATAACAAGATACAGGCCTTGCCTGGGATCAGATAGCTAGTAAAGCTCTGAAGTTTCTTGATTGCAAATCTAGCAATCTATTCACTGTGCCACCCAATGGATTGGTGAGGGCTGGATGAATAGTTAGATATATTAAGACTAGTTAGAACAAATTAACCTAGAAGGAGTGACTGTTAACTGGTCAGTGTCAACACAAGAGGGAAATTTCCTCCTGACTAGAACAATAACGATGATGATGATTGAAGCTGCTGCTGCTGCTGCTGATGTAGCATCTGCTCTGGGCCAGGTGTTGTGCTAAGAGCTTTACAACTAGTATCTCATTTGATCCTTACAACAACCCTGTAAGATAGCTGTTATTATTTTCCCCATTTACAGTTGGGGAAAGAGAGGCATACAGAGCTCAAGTGACTTTTTCAAGGACACACATCTAGTAGTGTCTGAAGCTGTATTTGAACTTAGGTCTTCCTGATTCCAGGTTCAGCTCTCTAACCACCTGGCCCCCAAGTTGCCTTGATATCCTGGCTCTGACAACAGAAAATGAGCTTTGATGAATCCTAACAAGACGGAAAAATTCTGAGTATAAGTCAGCAACAGACTCTATGCAGACAGCTGCCCCCTAAGGACCAGCCTAGCTTAACTGGGAGAGGTTTCTTATCTGTAGACAGTCTCCTTCTTAGTGAATTTTTTATACTATCTACTGTAGAAGGGCTGAATCACTCGATCAATAAACATTCATTAATCAAATACTGTGTGACAGGCATTGTGATAAGGCCAGGGAAATAAGAAGAGGCAAAAGACAGTCCCTACACTCAGTGAGCTCATAATCTAATGAGGGAGACCACAAAAAATTGTACAGAATAAATAGGAAATAATTAAAAGGAGGAAGGCCTTAAAATTCAAAGGGAGTGGGAAAGGCTTCCTGTAGAAGAGGAGCTTTTAGCTGAGACTTACAGGAAGCCCAGGGACCCAGGAGCAGAGATGAGGAAGGGGAACATTCGAGGCCTGGGGAATAGCCAGAGAAAACACCTGGAGCTGAGAGATGGCGGTGGGAATGATTCCAGACAGAGGCTCAGCAGCCCTGAATGAGTGAAATGATAGGAGTGCTCCAGATGCAGGAGGAAGACAGTGTAATCTTGAATTGGTTCATCAAGGGGTCAAGATAGGGGAAAGAGAAGAGAATGGGCGGTGCAGGGGAGAAGGTCTTGGAGGGAATAGCAATGCCAAGTAAAATCATTTGTACTGAAATATAAATGAACTCTGAAGAAGGTCTCCTATGTGGTGACCCAGGGACCTGTCCTTGTTCTTGAGATATTTGCCTTTTTATTCCTCTTTCTCCTGTTCTTCTTTCTTCTTCATGTCATGAACAAAGGTCTTTCAGATCTGCAAAGCACCAAAATATATTATATCACTAATGAAGCTATAGAAAACAAGCTCATCAAATTTACAGCTCACAAGAATTTGGGATGATTGACAGCACTAAAACTGGATTTAAAAAGATCTCAACAGGCTTAATTGATGGGTTGACTCCAGAAAGGTGAAATTTAACCAGAGTTAAACATAAAAATCCAGCACATGGATGCAAAGAATCAACTGCCCAAATGAAGAGTCAAGGAGGTCAGGGTAGACAATAGCTGGTGCAACAAAGGTCTGGGGGTTTTAGTGGACCACAAGATTAAGAAGGGCTAGCAGTGTGACAAGACAACCAAAGCCATCTCGGGCTGCACCCAGAGAGGGACAATCCAGGAGATGATAACACCCTTGGGGAATGGCATGGGAGTTGTTTTTAAGTATTTCAAGGGCTGTCACCTGAAATAAGGATTAGATTTGTTCTACTTGACTCTACAGACAGGCCCAGGAACAATGCATGAATGGAAATGGGAAATTTCAGGGAAGAATATTTAATCTGGGTATCAGAAAAAAGCCCCAAAGAACTCCTAACACTGAAGTTATTCCAAATAGCTATTCCAAAGAACAATGGCATACTTTGATAAGTAGTGATTTTCCCATCACTGCAGATATTCAAGCAGAGACTAATGACCACTCCGCCTGTTCTTTTTTTTTTGGCTTGAACCAGAGTAACTGCCCTTCCTTGGATGTCCCCATTAGTCTTTCATTTTTCTTACCTCAACCCTGTCTGAGATCCCAGTTTAGAGGCCTGGGGTCTCTTAGTACCAACTTTCCAATTAAACTGGGACTGCTATCCTAACAAACAGTGGCATCCCTCTGAATGCCCTGCCTCATTTGAATAGCAAGCAGCTGTGATTCCTCCCTAACCCCTGAATCCCCAGAGCTGAGTGGATCTGGACTCTCTAAGAGACCTATCATCATTGTAATTAGGCTCATTTGGATCAGGGAATCTTCTTTCCTGGTGATTTTATGAACATGTGCATATCCTGTCCCCACCTCATTCACTGTCCTGCTCCCCCCAAGTAAACTGAACCCTCAGAGAGGCCAGGGACAAAAGTTGACTCATCCCTGAACAAGGCTTTAAATTTTCTACAAGAAATAGGGATAACTCCTCCAAACTGGTCTCAGATTGAAGACTGAGTCAGAGATGTTTTTGCTGATGGTAATTGTGGTCCAGGACAGGAAAGAGATCCATATATCGTAATCAAAGAGTGCTTCTTGCATCAGATTGAAGGATGGTTACCATGGAGATTTCCTGTTCAGTCTTGAAAACCATGATCTATCTCCCTCAGGGAAATCTGGGGTTAATGAGTTTGCCTCCTTTCAATGCCCTGTTGTCCAATCAGGGCGTTTCGTTTTTTAGACCTCTGTTGTTGTGGCAAGAACTGGCAAGAATACTAGTCGGGGGTAGGTCTGGAATTCTGGAGTATGTGAGTCTGGGTTTCATGGGCTATCCTGTGACTAGGCATGGCAGTGGTGTGGACTGGCAAAAATGCTGAACTGGGAGATAGGAGACCAGGGTGCTATAGTATTCAGATTTTACCACTGACTCTCTGGGACATAGAGGTTTCCCTATTACATGAGGAGGCTGTCACATTTTATTTCTGACATTCTTGTTTCTGTGTTCAAAGGATGCTCCCCATGCTGATATTCTAATATATTGTGTATGAAGCACTGTGCACTGGTAGAGATATTATTATTGAATTGACCAGCAGCTCACTCTCCAGCCTTTCCTTTCAGCTCTGCACCCCCACCATATCCCTGGGTAGTCATAGCTTCGGGGTGAATTTCCCAGGAAAAAATAATTCTTGAGTCATTCTGCTCTCTGACTATGTTTCATCTCTTCCCTCCTGGTCTGACCACCAAAGAAGACAAAATTAGGGATGGTGGAGCACTGTGGCCTCTGGGTCTTGAGGGAGGTGTGGAGAAGACCAAGCAGAAGCATCAGGGCCTGTATTCGGATGCTTATTCTCCCATACGATGCCCTATTCAACCTATCTATCTCATTGCAGTACATGGTGTAGGAACAGAAAGTAAGCTCCTTGGGCTCGTCCACCGCAGAATGGAATCACAAGGTTTTTACACATGTCTTAACTTACCATTTTCCATTGCTGGCCAAACACGTTGAATTCTGGAGGGAAGGAGAAAATTTTGTTGAGGTAAAAATAACAGGGGTAACCATGGTTACTGATGCTTACAGATGACTTTTAGATTTTAGGGGCAGCAAATGATGCAGTGGGATCTGAGTTCAAATCTAGCCTCAGATACTAACTTTGTCACCATGGGCAAGACACTTTACCTCTGTCTGCCTCAGTTTCCTTATCTATAAAAAATCTATAAAAACCTACCTCCCAGGGTTGTCATGAGGATCAGTGAGATAATAATTGTAAACTATTCAGCATAATGCCAGGCACATAGTAAGCAATATATACATGCCAACTATTATTACTATTATTATTTGTGGTGGTGTTGGGTTTTTTTTTCGGTTGTTATTATTTTCCCTTGCAGGATTAGGACCATTTTCTCATTCTATTCTTCTAAGAGATCTTCAAGGCAGATAAGGCAGGGACTAAATTCCTCATTTCACAGACACAGAAATTGATTCCCAGTGAGGGAAGAGCTTGCTCAAAATTGCATAGTAATTCAGTGGAAGAGCTGGGGCCAGAATCTATGCCTCAATTCAGTTCAACTTAAGAAACATTTCTTGAGATTCTATTGTGTGCCTAGCCCTGTGCTTGACACCAGGAGAAATACACTTTTTGTTAAGACACAGTCTTTACCTTTCAGGAGCTTACAATCTAGCAGGGATGCTACAAAATATGGATCTTTGTATATTTGAAATTGATTCCCTGTCTCCTGATGAATTTGGATTAGCATTTCAGATGTAAAATTCCAAGGTCAGAGTGTGGGCTGTGTGTGTGTGTGTGGAAACATAAGTACCTATTGATTTCATTTTAGAAAAGAGCCCAAGTCATTTTCTGGACACTTCACAGGCAAGTGGTACTCCTCCCATCAGTACTAATTGTCCCTTGTTCTTTTGCTTGCACCCCCAAACCCAGCTGAGAAAGCCTTCCCATCTTTGCTTTATAATAACTTCATAGATGAAGTCTATAACTCGCCCTGGCAATGACATCATGGAAGAAAACCTTCACATTCTCCTTGATAGTTAACCTTGGGTGATTCAGGAAGCATTCTCTTCTGATGTTCTCATCTTTCTCAACCAATTACTGTGCTCAAAGGTCCCTGAAAAGGGAGGTGACCATGCTACTCTGCTCCACCAATCACCATTCTGGAATTCACTTTTCTCTCCCCTCCCACACCCAAATGAGGGAGCATCTCTAACACACATCAGATATGGAACTCTATGTAAAAAAAGGAAAGCCGCAAAGTCACAGTAGTGCAATGAAGTCTGGGGCACTTGGACTCGATTTCCTCTGCCTGGATACACACTTTGAGGTAACCAGTATCCCCAGTGCCATGTCCAGACAGTTGTGTAGATTGTCCTTAAATAAATCTCCTTTAGACACACGCATCTTTTGCATGAATTTCCTTTTTCCCTCTCTTATGTAACATTGCTTCATAATGTATTTGGGTAGCTATTTGCTATGAAATGAAGGAATTGAAATGAGTAGGAGAAAGATCAAGTCTTTTCCTGATTTTCAAATTACTTGAACTCAGGAAGCCTTTGAGTGGATCAGTAGGAGGTTGTTGGAGCACTACTTATCATTCCCATTCTGTCTCCATGAGGGAAGTGGAGGCAGCTAGGTGGTGCAGTAGCAAGAGTGCTGGCCCACTAGTCAGGAAGACCTGAGTTCAAATCTAGCCTCAGACTCTTATTAGCTGTGTGACCTTGGGCAAGTCACTTAGCCCTGTTTGCCTTATTTTCCTCACCTGTGAAATGAGCTGGAGAAGGACATGGCAAACACCAGTATCTTTGCCAAGAAAACCCTCAATGGGGACACAAGGAGTTAAACAAGACTGAAAAATGACTGACTGCCACCAAAAAAAACCCCACCTAGGTAAATAGGAAATGATTAACAGAGGGAAGGCACTAGAATTAGGAGCTCTTAGGAAAGATTTCCTGTAGGAGACAGGCTTTCATTTGGGACTCTAAGGAATCCTGGGAAGGCAGTAGGCATAGATGGGGAGGAAAAGCATTCCAGGTATGGGGGCCAGCTGTAGAAAATTCTTACAGCTGAGAGATGGAGGTGGAAATGAATTGAGACTGAGGCTTAGCATGGCTCAGTTAGGGAAATATTAAAGGTTCTAGTGACTTGAGAAGAGGAAAGTTGGATTGATTCACAAGGGAGTCACATTAGAACAAAGAGGAGAGAATGGACAGTGCAGGGGAGGTGGCCCCAGAGGGAATAGTGACACTGAGAAAAATCATTAGTATTGAAAAATAAATCAACTCTGAAGGAGATCTCTAGTGTGGTGCCCTAGAGACTTGTTCTCAGTCCTGGGTTGTTCTTTTTTCTTCCTTTTCCTTCTGTTCTTTCTTTGTTCTTTTTCATATCTTTTGCAAGTGGCTTTCAGGTTTGCAAAGCACTTTACACATATTATATTTCTAGATAAAGCTGTAGACACCAAGCTTATCAAATTTGCTCATAAGAATTTGGGATGATTTATATCACTAAGATCGTATTCAAGAAGACCTCAATAGGCTGAAATGATGGGTTGACTTGACTCCAGAAAGATGAAATTTAACAAGGGATAAATATAAAAATCCTGCACATGAATGTAAAAAGAATCAAAGAGACCTGGGTAGACAAGAGTTGGGGTGAAAAAGTGAACCACAAGCTTAATAAGTGCTAACAGTGCAACAGGGCAGCCACAGCCATCTAGGGCTACACCCAGTGTCTGTATCCAGGAGATGATAATACCCTTGGGGGAGGGCATGGGAGTTGTCTTGAAGTATTTGAAGGTCTGTCAGGTAAAAGAATGATTAGAATTGCTCTTCATGGTCCCAGTTGTGGGATCAGAAGCAATGTATGCTTTCACATAGGGAATTTCAGGGAGGCACCTTTAAGCTTGGTGGATGGAAAACAAACAAACAAAAAGCATCTTGGAACCATGAAGTTATCCCAAATAGGTATCCCAAAATGCAATGGTATGCTGTGAGAGGTAGTGATTTTCCCATTACTGTAGATATTCAAGCAGAGACTTGCTGACCACTTTGTCTTTTTCCTCTGGTTTAAACCTGAGCAAACTCTCCTTCTTAGGATTCCCCCATCAGCCTCTTTCTCTTTTCCTATCCCAACCCTGTCAACAATCCCAGTTTAGAGGCTTGGGGCCTCAGCACCCATTTCCCAACTAAACTGGTTTGTTGTCATAACAATAGCATCCATCTGAACGTCCTGCTTTATTTGGACCACAAATGATGCCTCCAGATCCCCTAAGCCTCCTGAGCTCAGTGGGTTCAGGGAAACTTCTTTTCTGGTGAATTTTATGAATGATTGCATATTCACTGCCCTGCCCTCCTCCCATTAGACTAAATTCTCAGAGAGGGCAGGAATTGAGGTTTATTCATCATTTTATAAGGTTCCTAATTTTTGCAAGAAATAGGTATAACTTTCCCAGTTTGGTTTTACATTGAAGACTGCATCAAAGATGTTTTAACTGATGGTGGTAGTGGTAGAGGAGGATAGGGCACCCACCTATCAAAAGCAAAGAGTGTTTCTTGCATCAGACTGGAGGATGGTTACCATGGAGACTGTCTGGATAGCAGAGAAAATCATGAATTATCTCCCTCAGGAAAGTGCAATGCAGTACACTCCTGTCCAATCAGAGCTTTCCATTTTCAGACCTCTGTTGCTGTGGCAACATCCCAGTTATGCTGGTCATAATACCGTTCTTAGGATGCTGATCAAGGTTAGGCAAGGAATTTTGGAGTATGAGACTCTGGACTTCATGGGACACTCTGTGCCCATGCATGGGAATCTGCTTTGTTAAAGGGCAGCAGGATGCAGTGACAGGGATACTGAACTGGGACATTAAACATGCTATGCTGTCCGCATTTTGCCATTGACTTTCTGGCTCTCACAGTCCTTCCCTATCACATGAGGAGGCTGTAGTAGGTCATTTCTAGGATCTTTCCAGCCCTGACATTCTTTGTCTGTGTTCAAAAGGTGTTTCCTGTGCTGATATTCTAATACGCTATGTGTGAAGCACTGTGCACAGAGATCTTATTTTTGAATTAATGAGCAGCTCACTAATTAGCCTTCCATTCCAGTTCTCTATCTCTGGCTCCGGGTAGCCACAGATTCATGGTGAATTTCCCAGAAAAAAAAAAAAACTCGAGTCATTCTGCTCTCTGGCAGTGTTCCATCTCCTCCCTCCTGGTCTGACCACCAAGGGAGATGAAGGTGGAGATGAAGGAGGTGAGAGACAGAGATGAGAGATAGATAGAGAGAGAGAGAGAGAGAGAGAGAGAGAGAGAGAGAGAGAGAGAGAGAGAGAGACAGAGACAGAGAGAGAGAGAATGAATATTTGTGACTGTGTGTATGTGATCTTTTACCTCAGGGACATAACATAGACCTCGTATTGCTGGATTACAATGAACATTTGTTGAAAAGATTTATATGGAGCATTTTTATATAAGCATCTCTGAAAAGATTTGGATAGCTCTGCCTAGAGACAAATAAGCAGATGTCAAAATTCTAAACAAAAGAGGTACACAGTATCAACACAGTATCAAGCAGGCAGGAAGAAGACGGGCTTCCAGTTTGGAAGACCATGTGAGTGAGGGTTGATTTTGGGACTCCCCAGAAAGAGTGATCATAAGGAACAGGTTTCCAGAGGTTGTCGACTAAATCCCAAATTCACACCAGAAGTTGGGAGCCATACAATTGGTGGCACCAGGGAACCTTGGGATTTTGCTGAGAGGTATGGACACTGGCCAAGAGGGAGCACCAGGACAAGGGAGTGGACAGACATCAGAATAAAAGAAGAGCTCAGTCTACACCGAAACATCCTTGTAACCCACAGTAGCCATATATGAGGCAAGGACTTCAGCAAGGGATGCTGTGAGTTTGTGGGGACTGTGATTGAATCCCATAGGGAATGATGGAAATGGAGCTCACCGGAAGATGGATTCTGTCAAGTTGGTAAAGTAGTGAAGATACCAGTCCCTGCTATTTACAGGTCAGCTCTATGGCTAATGGATTTTGTTCATCGCTATGCCTGTAGAAGCCTGAGAGGCCTTTTGAGAGATTCCAGACAGATTCTGACATTTCCAGGGAAGGTGTCTGGGTGGGGACAAAAGGAGCCACAGAGATTATTTCTAGAAGCCCTGAAGATTGAGTCTGGCTCCCTGTCTGTGGTCAGAGTCTGATTCTTGGGTTGCATGAATGAAATAGCTGACAAAATCTCTCAGGCTATGTGAGTAAAATGGAAAGAGAATCTTGATAACTGGCAGGTATACTGTGCTTTAAGGTCTGCAAAGCTCTTCACATACACTCATGATGCGTCCTATGCACATCATCTTATTGAGGTCAGTAATACATATTATTGTCTCCATTTTCCAGATGAGGAAGTTGAAGGTGACGGAATTTCAAACCTTGCTTGGTGTCAAGGGTCTCCCTGATTGCATGTCCAGCATTCTGTTCATTATGGCACACAAAGGACCTATGACAGCCATATGCAGTTAGGTAAGTTAACACCTGATTGAATGAATGAACCTAAAGAGTGGTTGTTAACAGGTCAGTTTCAACATAAGAGGGAAATTTCTTTCTGGTTATAATAATAATAATAACTTGTATATATATAGATGTATATGTATGTGTATGTATGTGTATATATATATATGTGTGTGTATATATATATATATGTATATGTATATATATATATATGTATATGTATATATATATATATATATATATATATGTATATGTATATGTATATATCACCTACTATGTGCCAGGCAGTGTGCTAAATGCTTTACAACTATTAGCTTTTTTAATCCTCACAACAACCCCACAATGTAGGTGCTTTTATGATCCCCATTTTACAACTGGAGAAACTGAGGCATGCAGAGGTTAAGTAACTTGTCCAAAGACAGGCAGCTAGTGAGTGTCTGAGGCTGGATTTGAATAGAGGTCTTCCTGACTGTAGTCTCAGCACTGTACCACCTAGCTGCCTCGATAGTCCAGCAGTGACCAATGACCATGAGCTCCACCAAATGCTAAGAAAATGGAAAGATTTTGAGCATGTGCCAGCAATGGACTCTATGCTGGTACCTGTCCCTTAAGATCCAGCCTAGCTATATTTAAAGAGGCTTATTATTTACAGATAGGCCCCAGAGTGGTCATTTTTTCTGATCATTTATCAAGATGTCGACACTTTGAAACTTATACTGATGGAGCTATTATTAAGCACCTACTTTGTGTCATATACTGTGCTAAATCCTGGAGGTACAAAAAGAAGTCTCTGCCATCAAGGAGATTACAATCTAGTGGTATAGACAACAGGCAAACAAATACATACAGACAAGCTATATACAGGATAAAGAGGAAATAATTAATAGAGGGAAGACCTTAGCATTTAGAAGGATCGGGAAAGGCTTACTTTAGATGAACTAGCTGGGACATAATGGAGGCCAGAGAAAGCAGTCAGTGGACATAAGGAGGGGAAGGATTCTGAGCATGGAGGCTAGCCAATGAAAACGCCCAGAGCTGAGAGATAGAGTATCAGGAAGGCTTTGTCATTCAGTTGAGGAACACCTGTCAGAGAACAAGGCAGTAAGAAGACTGAAAGAGTAGGAGGGGACTAGGTTATGAAGTGCTTTGAATGCCAAACAGAGGATTTTTTATTTAATCTTGGAGTTGACTAAAAGGCATTAGAGTTTGTTTAGCAGGGAGGCGACATGGTCAGATCTATGCTTTCGGAAAATCACTTTGGTAGTTGAATTGAGAATGCATTGGAGTGGGGAGAGACTGGAGGCTGCAAAGCCACCACCAGATTATTGCAATGGTCCAAGTGTTCAATGATGAGGGTCTGCGATAGAATGGTGGCAGTGTCAGAGGAGAGAAGGGGGAATATTTGGGAGATTTGGCAAAGATGAAATCAATAGGCTTCAGTAGCAGACTGCACACGGAGGGTGGGCGATAATGAGGAGTTTAGGATGATTTCAAGTTTGCAAGACTGAGGGACTAGGAGGTTGGTGTTTCCCTCTATCATTGCAGGGAAGGTAGGAGGATGGAGAGGATATAGGGGAAAGAGTTGAGTTCTATTTTGGATATACTGAGTTTAAGGAGATTCGTAGGCATCCATTTTGAGATGTTTGAAAGGCAGTTCGAGATACGAGATTGGAGTCAGCAGAAAGGTTGAGGCGGGATAGGTAGATTTGAGAATTGTCAGTATAGGGATGGTAATTAAATGCAGGGAAGCTAATAAGATCACCAAATGAAGTAGGGTAGAGGCAGAAGAGAAGAATGTCCAGCATAAGACCCTGTGAAACATCTACTATTAGGAAATGTGATCTAGAGTTGGATCCAGTAAAGGAGATAGAGAAGGAACAGTCAGATAGGTAGGAGGAGAACCAGGAGAGAGTGGTGTCCCAGAAACCTAGAGAGAAGAGAGTTGCAAAGAGGAGAGAGTGCTCAGCAGTATCAAAGGTTGCATAGAGGTTGGAGAGAATGAGTATTGAGAAAAGACTACTGGAATTGGCAACTGAGAGATCACTGGTAACTTCAGAGGGGCAGTTTGGGTGGAACGATATGGTCAAAAGCCAGTTTGTAAAGGGTTAAGAAGTGTGTGAGGAGAGAAGCTGGAAGTATCTATTGGAGACAGCCTTTCAAGAAACTTAACTATAACCAAGGGCAAATGAGATAGAAGATGATAGTTATTTGGGATAGAAGGATCAAGTGAAGGTTTTTCAGGATAGTGGAGACATGGTCATGTTTGTAGACAACAGGGAATGAACCAGTAGATAGGGAGCGATTGAAAATGAATGTTACAGTAGAAATGACAGAGCAGGCCATGTGTTAAAGGAGATAAGATCAAATGAGATCTCCAGAGTAGAGAGGGTTTAACCTGGATAAGAAGCAAAGTTACCTCATCATGCAAGACTGGGGCAAAGGAAGAGATAGAGGCAGAAAGCATCAAAGTGATGTAAGATGAGGAAGAGGGGAGAAGAGGGAGCTTAAGGTGGATGGTCTTAATTTTTTTCTGTAAAATATGAGACAAGATTCTCAGCTGAGAAGGTGGTGAGGGGGAGCCATGGGAAGTTTGAAGAGGGATGAAAAGGTTTGAAAATCCCACTATGGAGAGTGAGATTGTAAGTTGATAACAAAGGTAGAGTAGGATTACCCAGCAGCAGTGAGAGCCCAGCTGAGGTTGTGTAACATATATTTGTAGTGGACCCAGTCAGAAAGGTTGTATGATTTTCTCTACTTTCTTGTAGCAGCAAGTGTGCAAGCGAGACTGGTGTGAACAATTCAAGAATGAGGCTTGGCTAGGCTCAGTTGGTGAAATGATAAAGGGTCTAAGGACTCAAGAGAGGAGAAGAATGTAGAGTTGAATAGGTTCACCAAGGGGTCGAGATGGGGAAAAGAGGAGAGAGTGACTGGGGAGGTGACCTAGGCAGGAATAGTGACACCAAGAAAAATCGTTAATATTGAAATATAAGTCAACTTTGAGGGACATCTGTAGTGTATTGCCCCAGGTACTTGTCCTTGGTCCTGGGTTGTTCTTTTTCTTCTTCTTTCTCAAGTTCTTTCTTCTTCTTGACTTTCACAATGGGCTTTCAGGTCTGCGAAGCACTTCACATATATTGCATCACTAGATGAAGCTGTAGATGCCAAATTGATCAAATTTTCAGCTCATAGGATTTTGGGATAATTACTAACATTAAGATGGGATTCAAAAGATTATAATAGGTTCTAGTGATAGCTTGACTCCAGAACAGTGAAATTTAAAGTCCTGCACATCAATGCAAAGAACCAAATACACAAATTAAGGATCAGGGAGACTAGGCTAGTCACCAATTGGTATGAAAAAGATCTGGGTGCTTTAGTGGACCAAAAGCTTAAAATTGTGAACAGTGTGACAGGAAAGCTAAAAAAAGCTAAAGCAACTTAGGGCTGCCTCCAGAGAGGCATTGTGTCAAGGGTCTGTTCTTTTGTTTTTTTTTTTACCATGTATTTTATTCTGTATTTTCTGTATTTTGTATTTTACCATGCCTCTTTCGCATATTTGGGTGTCAAACCTTATAAAAGTAAGGTCCTGGGGACCAGGGTCATCCAGATAGTGAGGAAGATCTGAGGTCTGCTTCATTAGAGAGGACCATGGAATCTTTAATAAAGTGCCATTGGCTCAGATTTCTGCCTCAGTTTCTTTTATTGTAGGTTGGACAATTTAAAACTCCACAGATCCTTGCTTAAAGGCCAGCTATCTCTTAGTCCAAGCTCTCCAACTATACTGGGACTGTTGTCATAAGAAAGGCATCCTTCTGGATACACTGTCTCATTTGGACACTAAGCCACTGGGACGCTTCAATAGTCCCTAAGTCCCCTAAGACTAATGGTTCCGGGACCCTCAAAAGGTCTAGACTATCACCATTGTAATCAGCCATTTTGTTTCAAGGAATCATTTTTCCTTGTGTTTTTTTGTTGGTTTGTTTTTTATGAATGTTTGCATAGTCTATCCCCACCTTACTCCCTGCCAGGCCCCCCCACCAACTAAACTGAATTCTCAGAGAGGGTTTACTCATCCCTGCACAAGGCTCTAAATTTTCTACAAGAAACAGGTATAATCCCCCAGTTAGGTCAAAAACTGAGGACTGAGTCAGGGGTGTTTTAACCCATGGAGGGAGGGTAGGACATCCACCTAGCATAAAAGAGTGTTCCCTGCATCAGATTGGAGGATGATTGCCATGGAGACTGTCTGAACAGTCTTGAAAACTATTATCTATCTCCCTCAGGAAAATCTAGGGCTAAGGCACCTATCAGTGCCCTGTTGTCCAATCAGGGCTTTCCATTTTTTAAGCCTTCGGTTGCCATGGTAACTTCCCAGAGGTGGCGAGAAAATCAACTTTAGGATTCCGGTCCAGGGTAGGCCAGGCATTCTAGAGTGTGTGACTCTGGGCTTTATGGGGCTCTGTGTGACTGTCCATGGGAACCTGCTTTATTAAGAGGCAGAAGGCTGAATTGGGAGACAGGAGACCAGGGTTCTAAATTGTCTAGGTTTTATCATTGACCTTCTGAGATTGAAAATCTTTCCCAATTGCATGAGGAGGCTGTAGCAGCTTATTTCAAAGATCCCAACTCTGACATTCTTTGTTCTGTGTTCCGAGGGTGCTCCCCATGCTGATTTCTAACACACTGTGTGTGAAGCACTGTGCACAGATAGAGATCTTATTTTTGAAATAGTGAGCAGCTCATTAGCTATCCTTCCTTTCTAGTTCTCTATCTCCACCATGGCTCTGGGTAGCCACACATTCATGGTGAATTTCCCAGGAAAAAATTCCTGAGTCATTCTGCTGTCTGACTGTATTTCATCTCCTCCCTCCTGGTCTGACCATCCAAGGGAGATGAAGATGAGAGGGGGAGGGGCCCTGTGGCCTCTGGGTCTTAAGGGAGGTGTGGAGAAGACCGAGCAGGAGAATCAGGGCCAGTATTTCATTGCATGTCCTCATAGACCAGGCCTCATT